ACTAGTAAAGTAATTTGTATTTAGTTGAACTATAGTATTGTTTTTGAATAAAAGTTTTTATATAAGGTCTCCATGCCTAACTCACAGCCTCCGTGCGAAGCATAAGCATCATCACAAACCAAGTTGTAGGCATTGGGAATACCACGTGATACAAAGCTTACGCATGGGCAGTTTGACAGATGACGACTTTCTTTTCTACAGTTAAAGAATTCCAGTAGATGAAAAATATATTGGCTTATTACAAGCTCAAGAAACCCCGTTTTTGTATAGCACACATTAATTTAACAAGTTTATATTCTAAAATTATAACACTGAAGCTACTTCACGTGACCCAGAGGACAGAAAAAAACATAATCGTTTTTGTTGTGAGCGAAGCTGGTTCTAAAAAGCGTCAAAAATTGTTTGTGAATGAACCTAATATGAAAATAATTATTATTGCCAAATAGATAGATATGCACTGCTTATTCACAATCAGTGTCTCCGGTCTGTGGCCAAACATTGACAGCAATATATAGGCCGAATTCGATCCAACTCGGCCACAAGTCAACTCGGCCACAAGTCAACTCGGCCACAAGTCAACTCGGCCACAAAAAGTTTGGCTACAGTCAACTCGGCCACAAGTCATGTCGGCCACAAGTCATTTACTGGTACTACATTGTACTAATTGTTATTATTATTGCTGTTATTATTGTTGTTTTTATTACCGTTAGTTTTAATATTAATTATTAGTCTTAGCATTAACATTACATATTGTTCAAAATTTTTGCTATATTATTATTATTACATATATATATATAGTACATATATTTATAGTACTGTACCATAAATAATAAATAATTTTCGATTTTTTATTATTATTATTCATATTATTATTATTATTAATTATTAGTCTTAGTATTATAATTTTAATAATAGTACTGTTATTTAAAAAGTTGTTGTTATTGGCGTTTTATTAGTATTTTTCTCATATTATTATTATTAATATTATTGTTGTTGTCACCTTTATTATCGATATTATTACCCTATTATTACTAAGTAGGCCTAGTATTAAGTATCATCATTATTATTATTACTAATTATTATTACTATTATTATAAAAATAAACATTATCTTTAATTTATTATTGTATTATTGCTATTATCATCTTCAATATCGTTATTATCACTAATTAGTTATTAAAATTGATATTTAAATATCGTTATTATTACCATACTAGTATTGTTACTATTTGTTAAAATATATATTACTATTAATGTTGTTGTTGTTATTATCACATTTATAATCGTCTTAATGACTAATTAGTATTATTAATGTAAATATTACTAATTTATTGTCGTTATTGTTGTTTAATATTATTTTTGAAGTAGAATGTTGTGAATAAACAGAAGACGAACAAATTAATAAATAACTCTTTTTAATTCATAGGCAATAGCATTCAAATCTCTTTTGGTAGTGTGGTGGTCTTGTTTTACTAAAACATACTGTGTACTTTATTTCAATCATATATTGAAGAAAAACGATGCAAAACTTAGATTTACATTAAATAACTTGTGGCCGAGTTGACTTGTGGCTGAGTTGACTTGTGGCCGGGTTGGCAGAAGCCGAAATTTTTGTGGCCGAGTTGATTTGTGGCCGAGTTGACTTGTGGCCGAGTTGACTTGTGGCCGAGTTGACTTGTGGCCGAGTTGACCTGCACCCTATTATAGGCCTAGGTAGGCACCACACGATGCGTGATGTCACGCACTTCAATTAGCGTCATTTACCCAGTTCAGCCAAGCGTGTTTTCGTCAACAAAGGCCTTAGGAAAATATTCATATAAAATGCTTTTTGATTGGTTGATACGTTTTCATCAGGTCAATCAGGTCACTCAGGGGTCAAAGTAGTATACCATTTTGATTTTTTCCGAAATCGGCCAACTTTTATAGAAGTTATCAGCTTTTGAAAATTTCATTAAAATTCGTCGTTTTTTCCAGAGAATTGTGAGTAATGAAGTTCAATTTTTTAATAACGAAGATTAGTTTATATATCTAAGAGTTCATTTGCCAAATATGAATGTAATACGAGGTGTAGCAATATTTTTTTTTGGCACCGCAAAACCGACGATCAGCTGTGGATCGGCCATCGTGTACACATTGTCGCGAGGTAAACCATAGCGATCGTAACGGAAGTGCTGCATGTAAACGGCAATATTTTTCATGTAAATAAAATAAATATGAGTTCAAAAAGTTGACTAAATGATACTTAAAGTATTAAAATATACTTTTAGCTAATGATTATCTAGAAAAATAGTTAAATATTAAGGATTGAAGTGGATATTAAACATAGGATGATTTCGAGAGAATTGTGAGACGATGCTAGTTTTTGTTGGGAGAGGATTACGTCATGCGCAACGGCCAATGAAATTCTTCATTTGAAGTCATGTGCCCTCAAAATCGTTTGCTGATAGGTTAATCTTAAGCTCAAGGGAAAAAATACTTGTTTAGCGTCTCAACACAATTTTAGGTTGTGACAAGAAGTTACATGAACACAGGAATTGTTCCAAAAATGAAATATATTCTTTCAGAAAACAGAAAGTGTTAAAATTAAATCATTTTTAATAGGCCTGTATGCAATAAATGTTACACCATGGTTGGTGAAATCATTGTTTTAATCCACATAAAATAGGCTTGCCTATACTTATTTTGATTAGCATTTCCTGGACAATATTCATTTTTTTTAAATGAAAAAAAAATTCCCACCTCTAATGTTTGTATTTTTGCTTAAAAAATCAGGTGGTGGTGGTGACGCTAAACAAGTATATCTTTTTATTTGACTTTAGTATTTCTGTTTTTCTACAACTAAGGGAAAGGCCTATAAATTGCAAACAAAATAAATATACCTGTTTTTTAATGTTAATGCATTTAGAATTGTTAAACCAATGATTTAAAAAATATTTAATCAATAGAGTTTCATCATGAGAAAAAGAAAGAGACAAGGAGGTGGTGGTAAACCTGGAAGACAACATGAATTGTTAGCGATGTATGCTGAACATCCAGAAAATGTACAGGACTTGAAAAACGGCCACATCCTCTATCAGGAAAGGATGCTGTCTTCAAAAGCAGAGGTCTTGCGATTTTTTAAGGAAAAGCTGAATATTGTTATTTCTAACGGTATTTTACAATGGCTTATTACTAGGTACTGTATAACTAAACTTTCTTTGTTTTAATTAATTTAATTTATTTATTCCAGAAAAGTAAAGCAGAATGAAGAGAAAACATGAACCAAGGAAAAGAATAATAATAATAATGATAATTTTGAAAGCACTTAACGATTAAATTAGTTCATGCTGATAGAATAAACATTTTACCTATTCTTCCAGCACCAGGTCGCATAAAAAATTCCAAATTATAATTATATATTATTAATTCTTACTTACCTGTACATTAACTATAAAACCCTGAGAAACAAATAGCTAGTACAGTCAATTGTTTCACTTGTTTGTATCGAAAATATAAATAAAATAACATAACATAACATTATTTTTTAAATATCAATACATGAAACTGCAGTATGTCTTTTTATATTTATTTTGATTAATATTTATCAAATATTTTTTATTTTATTAGGTCTGTAAGCAAGTACAAAAACCTGGCTAGAGCAAATGATGAAATGAAATTTCGAGAAATTTGTGAGGAAGCCTTTACGAGTTACAGTGTTACTGATGTAGTAGTTCCTGAGGTTCAGAGTGGCTCAACAGCTTCTGCATCCAGAAGTCTCGAGTTTGGAACTAGTGAGAGTGAAGTAGGTGATTTTGCCACCCTCCCAGTAACACCACTACCATCTGCTCCAAAATCTCCTGTGTCTGCTTCTTTGTCTCCGTTCTTTGCAGCGCAAAAACTTACTGACGCCTTTAAAGAAAAAGATACTTATGAGGGGAGAAGAAATGAAGAAAGACATACGCTCTTTGAAAAACAAGGTCTCTGTGCTGAGAGCTAGGCTGTCCTCAAAGAAATATAAACAAAATAGGTAAAAATTCATCAATATTTAATATTTTACCTTTCCTGTAGGTCATCTTTTTTTAATTAATTTCACAGTGAATTTAAGGCTTAACGTTACATTAAAACTCATATCCAATCATCATTTTAACTGTGTTTTTGAAGGGTATACATTATATTATTTAATTAACATGTTTTGTTTTGTTTTTTTGGTTTTTTTCAGGTATCTTCAACGGCAAGTTGCTAGATTGTATGAACAACTGCGTATTAAGTCAGAGAAGCTTAAAAAAAAGAAAAGGAACTTCACAAATTGAAAAAAGGAGCTGTTGAGGAGCATGTCCAAAAGGAGTTGGCAAATGCTAAAAGGACAATTAGAAGGCTAAAACTGCAGCATAGAGGTTGTCCTTCAAAGGTGAAGTTCCACAAGATTACAGAAGAAAACAAGGAGCTGAAAAGAAAACTAAAAGAAAAGGAGAATAGTGAGTTAGTAATTGAAGATCGAGTTTTGCAGTTGCAGGAGGAATTGCATATACTGATGAAAGACGACAGTGTCGACTGCAGAGTAGATGGGCGAACCATCAGTTGTAAGGCAAGGTTGCTTGTTGACTTCATGTTGGATTGTGGGGTACCCACGGAAAGGGTGCCTCTTTTGATAGAGAGGGTTGGCTGGTGGTTTGGTGTGAAGTTAAGCAACATTCCACAAAAGTCGACAGTTGAGTGTATTGCTAGAGAACTCGGCATTGTCAGCGACCTGATAGTGGCTGAAATTGCATTGAAATCACCTGACACCACAATAGCCTTCGATGCAACCACTCAAGAAGGAGTTCATGTGAATGAAATCCACATAAGCACTTCCGAAAAAGAATCTAAAGTTGTAGCGCTTGATGAGTTACCGGGGGAACAGCAATGGACTACACCAGTCATATCACCAGGTCAATCAATCGATTAGCACAAATCCATAGTCTTGTGCACGAGTCCAACACAGACGAAGTTGAAAAGAAAATTCAAAACAATATCCGTAATTCCATGACAGACAGGTGCGCTGTAAATAGTGCAACAATTAGAGCAGTTGAAGATAATTGGCAAACGAACATCCAGCAATTAAACTGCAATCTACATCCACTTGAAACGATTACTAAGGAATGTAAGAAGGTTCTAAAACAACATGAAAAAGAAAATAAATTTCCAGCCAGACAGTGTTACGGCACAGATTGTTTCGCTGGAAACCTTGTGCTAAAGTCAAACCAGCTCAGATATAAAGATTCCACTGGTGATCCCAGACTCTTTAAGAGTAGATTGCAGAGTGCAAATCTCCCTAGCAATCTCCTGCCAAGATTTAGAGTTGCACGCATGCATATCACGCATCAGATTTCTCGAGTTTTGCTAGAGCATGAAGAGTTTTTCACAAAGCTCTTTGCTGACAAACAGCTAAAATCATCTCAACTCAGATCAGCAGTTCATTTGGACTTTGCCAGGAAAGAGGTAAAAGTTGAACTTCAAGTTCTAAGAGTGATTGGTAAAGCCATTACTGGGCCATGGATGAAATATTTCTACGACGATGAAACATCAGAACTTCACCACTTCGATGCATTCGAATTGGTAAAAAAATCCATTGGCAATATTCAGCAGTGGGCTGATGATCCCCTTTCAGTTTTCAGTGGCACTGTTGATTGTTTTGGGGATGAGATGACCATGGGGGATTGTCTGGGCACATTGCCAGACAACAAGATTTTGTTCACATCAATGCTGTCTGATTGCTTCAAGCGAACTGTTACAGTACTGAATCGCCAATACAGCAACTACTTCTCATTGAATATTGATGACAAATTAAAGGAAGAAACAAGGTCAGCAAAAGTCCATAACATTTATGCGGAACAAATTATGGGTATGTTTTCAGCAATGAAGGCATTAAAAACAAATGCAACGGTTGACTATATTTCATGTGCTATTAGGGCCAGGAAAAACCATGCTGTCAACTACCTGATGAATATGAATGAGGAAGACCGTGAGGAATTGATGACGAAAGCAAGGCAGTTTGCACGCAAGGATAGAGTATTCAAGCGAAAGACTCAGAAGGCACTTGAGGATGAGATAAGACGTCGGTATGAAGTGAAAGTTCAGAAAGGAGTTGATGCCGACCACAGAAAATTAGTTAATCAGCTAAAAAAAGGAAAGAGAACAACGGCTGATTTTCCCGAACAGAAAGAAATGATGGACGTCATAATTGAAGGTAGACTGGTTGGCGAAAATATTGGTCACACATTCTATGATGAAGAAGAAAAGAAGACAGTAATGTACCTTGGACGAGTAGAATCCTTCAACAAGAAAAAACTCCAGTATGTCATTGGCTACTGGAAACCACATGAAAGGGAAACATACGACGAGGATGCTGTTGATGACAGTCAGGGGGTTTATGGATTGGCAGTAGATTTCTTTTATGGGGATCTCATCGTTGAGTAAAACCTAAAGTAGAAAAATAATCGGTGTTAAGAAAATGGCAGAAAAAATATATACTGTACATATTCATTGTAGCTCCCATGAGTAATTATTATTTACCACCAATAGTTTAATTTTTCATTTATGTAACTTAATTCAGTAATCATTATTTCCAGCCCCGAAACCTAGACTCAGAAATACCGGGATAGTGTCCGGCGGGGGATAGTTTTACTTCCAGATTAATTCTGGTAATAGTTTTATTTTTCATTCATATATCTTAATTCAGTAAATCATTATTACCAGCCCCGAAACCTAGACTCAGAAATACCGGGGTAGTGTCCGGCGGGGGATAGTTTTACTTCTAGATTACTACTGGTAATAGTTTTATTTTTCATTTATATGTCTTAATTCAGTAATTATTATTTCCAGCCCCGAAACCTAGACTCAGAAATACCGGGATAGTGTCCGGCGGGGGATAGTTTTACTTCTAGATTAGTACTGGTAATAGTTTTATTTTTCATTTCTATATCTTAATTCAGTAATTATTATTTCCAGCCCCGAAACCTAGACTCAGAAATACCGGGATAGTGTCCGGCGGGGGATAGTTTTACTTCCAGATTAATTCTGGTAATAGTTTTATTTTTCATTCATATATCTTAATTCAGTAATCATTATTGCCAGCCCCGAAACCTAGACTCAGAAATACCGGGATGGTGTCCGGCGGGGGATAGTTTTAATTCCAGATTAATTCTGGTAATAAATTTTTTCATTTATATCTATATTTATGTACTGTATAGTTTTTATTATATTAAAGTTTGCAAAATTTTATACACCATTTAAGCCCATCACAAATTGCGCCAACATTTTGACGGACATTGCAATTACTCTGAGAATGGAAGCACAATAAGACTTTTTTTTATGACTTATTTTATATTTATTTAATTAAAAAAAATTTTTTTTTGGTTTTTTTTATCCCGAATTTTAATTTCAGAATTGTGGGTCAAAGGTCAAAGGTCACCTGAAAAATTTAAATTCTTCGGGTCATTGTGTATTAAGGCTTCATGACCAATTGCAGTAAAATTTTACAATCAAAATGTACACTATTTTTTAGCATTTACAAAAATTAACAGAAATATATGGCAAAAAGTGACAGAAATATTATTGTTAACATGCAACTTGCTATTCACGTGCTCAGAAACTTCAAATATTTATAAAACCGTAACCAGTGGCTCAATTTTTCTCAAATAAAGTTTTTTATGAATCTGAGAATGAGTAGTTTCTTGTGCTATTTTTTGGGTTTTTTTTATAATCAATTTTGTATTTATCATGTGGTACATACGGCCCTTGGTTATTATAAGAATTATCGTCGCCATAATCATGAAGCAGAATGTTATCCGCTTAAAAATTCGAAAAAGTATAAGGACAATTTTTGAAATAGGTTCATCGCGCGAATTCCATGTGTTTATGCTAGGTTGTAATTTACCGTTCGCCATCAAAATGCGATCGCCTCAACTTCCTGTCCTGCAATTCATCGACCCGGTCCAATAGAAGAAGTGTGAACGTCCGTAAGGCAGCCCTGGGCCGACTTAAAACAATAACTGTGTGAACGGAAATGAAGTTGAGTCGGCCGTAATTTAAGGCGACCCTGGGCCGGCCTAATAAATAAGTGTGATTGGACTCTAAGCTAGGCTAGGCCTACGCTACCTAGCTAGCCTACATTATGATTTAGCCTAGGCTATAGCATTTAAAAAAGACGAAGGATATCGGCAAAATACTTGCGCTGACAATTTGATGTGCTTGTCCTCATGGTCCACGATTTGATGAACAACGATTAATGATCATTGTCGTTTGATCTTTTGGTTCAAAAACGCCCGGCAGTGAGGGAGACATATCTATGGCTATATGGATACTATGGAACGCTGTTACTGCCTTTGGTGGCTCTTTTTCGTTCGGCGCATTTGCTATTCGGCCCTTTTAACATTACTTTCGGTGTTTTTACATTACGTTCGGTGCTTTTTACATTACGTTCGGTGCTTTTACATTACGTTCGGTGCTTTTTACATTACGTTCGGTGCTTTTACATTACGTTCGGTGCTTTTTACATTACGTTCGGTGCTTTTACATTACGTTCGGTGCTTTTTACATTACGTTCGGTGCTTTGCATTACGTTCGGTGCTTTTATTAACATTACGTTCGGTGCTTTGAAACATTACGTTCGGTGCTTTTATCATTACGTTCGGTGCTTTTGCCACACTTATGGATCTTTTATCATTTGGTGCTTTTTAGTTTTACCTTTCGGCCCTATCATCATTACGTACGGTTCTTTTATCATTCGGTGCTTTCATGACCTTTGACTTCGGGTCAAGTGGAAAAAATCAACGGCTGTGGGAACGAGCCTAGTGAAACTTGCGCGCTCCTTCTCTCTTTCATTTTTTTTTCTTTTCTTCTTTGAACTTCTTAGTTTCATTACTGTTACGTTATATTATATTCATGTTTTGAAACACAGGTGGGCACGCATTCTGCATATAATATATACTGTATATACACACACACACACACACACACAT